TCTTATCCCATTGCATTGATGCCCTCACCTTCTTCTGAACAGTGGAACTGAAAATGGCTTTAGAAATACAGCAAAGACGAACAACAGCAGTGGACAGTTCGATCTCACTGATGCGCCAGTAAAAAGGTAAAGAGAGGCGAGATGAGACTTGAGGATTAAGCAGCATTACAGCCATCTCCACACAGCTGATTCATATTCTGCACACAGTGGGATCAGCTTCCGTGTACATAAACCCAGACAGGTCTTGACTAATGACTTAGAGCTCATTGTTTAATCAGTAGACATACATGTCTGAACATTAAAACCCACTAGGCTTCTGTCTGATGTGATTCTTTCCTTTTTTCCATCAGTCCTAATACACACACGCTCACAACTATAACAGTGAGCTACTTCAGTTTCCTCGCAGCTGGCAACACAATTCCAGGGGTTGAAAATACTGGCTGCTGCTTTGACTGCCTCCTTAGACAATACTTATTCCACATTAGCTGTGTCTAGATGATGTGTTCACACACTGTATTTCACAGTGTGTGAGCTATGCAACCTACGCCTTATTAGGGAGTGCCCTCATTAAAAAGCCGCCAGTGAACACGCCTCGTCACAACATAATCTCTGTTTCAGGAGGCTTGGTTGAACCACCGCCCGAGTGAGCACAAACACACAGAGTAAGAGTGACATAAAGTGAGGCAGAGCAAGATGGAAAGACAGAAAATCTGATTTACTGTCAAGCTGCAAGATGAATTCAGAGGAGAGACATGTTAAACGCAAAATCAAGAAAACTTGACAACACAACACTGACAAAGTCCCAAGTCTCAAATGCACAAACCTTTAAGGAGGTGTTATATAAGTATGAAAGAGGAGGCTCCCTGGGAATTAAACCAAAATCGGCTCAAACTTGTTCAGTGATAACAAAGAAATCTGTGTGCATCCTTTGAGATGTCCACTTGAACAAAAGGAGAAAAAAAACTTATGCTGCAACAAAATGGTGGCTGGCATGAAATTGGGACATACTACCAAACTCTGAAAAACACAAAAATATAAGCAATGAGGCAACACATGCACATTAATAAAGGCTGGCTCATTATTGTGAGAGAGGAAAGAAAGAAAATGAGAGAAAGATTGCGCAGACAGTGACGTGCAGGAGGTACCAAAGGTTACACCGGGTCAGCACACATGATTTTAGCATATTAAAACAGCTTAAAACATAGTCTGTAATGGAGACAAGCGATTACGATAGTAACATTAGAACTGTGAGTATAATCTCAGTTTTTACGTTGGCTCTATGTTTTCTTTTAGTTGCCATTGTATTAGCATCCATTCAATATCAAAGTGTTTTTTGGGAGAATGCTCTCTGCCAAACAGCCTCACTGAGTGTCTCTTCTCTGCTGCCTATTAATATCCAGCCAGCTACCTGGCATTGGACGGATAATAGTGCTGTGTGTTAGCTCAACAACAATCACTTAAAATGTTAGAGAATCATCTCACATTTCGCTCAATGTTTTTTCAAGAATGCTGAACATTCTGAATGTCATTAAGCACAGCAAAAGATGAAACAATCCTACACCAAATATTGTGATAAGGAGAGAGGCCTCCCAAGGAACGCCCTACACATCATCAACGCATCTTTTCTAAGACTGAAGAGAAGATAACTCCCCAAAGAAAACCCCAGGAGAACGGGGCTGCATCGCTGCTGTGTGTGCTGACACACTGGAAACTGATTCACACTGTGTTTGATCATATCTTTGGCACCAATATGATTCAAACAAGAAGGAGAGGAATCCAGGTCATGCTCAAAGCCCTTCAGAGATTTCTTACTTTGCACAAACTTCTCTCACTCCACTAAATCTCACTCTTTTTTTGAATCCCCTGTCTGTGTTGTATTGCATTGTTGCTGAGAGTTTTCTTCCGCAGAGTGCCTGTATCTGTTTCGGTCAAAAGATCATCGGTTGTCACGCTAACACTCCCATCCTCTTTTCTTCTTCCTCTGCTTGCCCTCTCAACCCCTCTCTCTCTTTCTCCTTTCCCTTTCCTCTTTCCTTTGCTGATTGCCTCTTCCTCTACTTTCCTAACATTTGTATCATTCTCCATCTTCCTTCTCCTCATATGTCCTCCTCTTCCCTCTCCCCTCCTTCCGCTCAACATAAAGAGTCACTGCACATTACAGTAATGTCAACTCACCTATAAACATGAGCTCTCTCATCCATCACATCAATAATTAAACTGGCCTTTTGACGTTGACATCACACAGGAGAATAGCTCTGAATTGGTACAAACAGGGCGGGAAAACATATAGTTTCTTTTAATAATTTGCTTAAGAGTCAATGGAGCATGTTCCTCCCCCCGCTATCGCTCCTCATTTCTTTTTTATGAATAAGTGATGAGATTCTGCTGTTATTGTTTGGCGGTTGCACAACATTGGTATGCAGGCAGAGACAAAAGAAGACAGACTTTTTTTTTTATCTCTCTGTGTGCCGTTCACAAACAGTTTGTCTGCACTTAATGATTCACGCAGTGATCATTTAATTTTGATTGGGTGAGCAGCTGCAAGAGTTGTGTTTCACGGACCTCAGAGTGAGTCAGAGAAAATGGAGTCAGGCCTGGCTAATAAGACATGAACTGCACACAGAGTGATGGCGGCACCAAAGTGCATTTGTCCTCTGTGGCCATTAATGTCAAATCTCACAGAGAAATGATGGCGTTTATTAAGAGTGAGTGCGTTTAGACAGAAAGTATGTGTGTCTGTTTGTGCATGTGTATGCGATGCAACTCAGGCAACACTAAGCATTAGTACTCTCTGGCTGGAGACACTACCTCCATTAAATCACAGCATGAACCCAAATGGAAGAGGTCAACAGTGACAAGACTGGCTGAGGTTTAATCTGCAGGCAGGTAGGGGTTCATGCCAGGACACCAGAGTGCAAACACTCCTCCAAGGTTGTCATTAATTCGAACCAGGTGAGCTGTGAAATATTACCGGCTTGTGACAAGTCAAATAAAGTTCCCGCTTTGAAGATATATGCCATTTGACATATAATCTTATCTGATTTAACTTAGAATATATTTCTTGTATGGGTGGCAGCAGTGGGAATTAAACTGTTAGGTGTTCACATTAATTCATCCCGAAATTTATATTCAACACAGTAAAATGCACAAGGACCAAACCTAACTTTACTACTTTAGGTACAGTTGAGACAATGACTTTGGAGAGGCACAAAATCTGAACTTATGACACAGTAAAAGCATTACAGTAAGCTGCTAGCACCTTGAAACTAGGGAATATTGGACAAGAGCTTTCAGTAGCAGCTTTGCCCACCAGTAAAGTGATTGTTCCAGCATCTGAAGTTATCTGAATTACATAACTGCCCCTTTAAAGAGTTTGAGAGTGGATGGATGCTGAGGGCTACTCCAGCTCAACCTTTGTTCTTGAGTCATGGATTGAGTCAGATTGTCTGGAGAGCTACTATTGGCAAAGTACAAGAGGTCCCTGAGACCCTAACTGGTATCTAGTGTATTAATTTTCAAGGTAGTGTATCGCATCAGTCAGTGGATCAAATGATAGGCAAAGATCTTTCTGCGCAAATGCATTTTAAATAAAGAGATTAAATATATATTAAAAAAATTAAAGATACATTGCAGTCATTATTAATGTAACAGTTCTGTTTCTTTGGTATAGTTTCTTCTTGTCTTTAGCTTCCAAGTGATAATTCTTCAATATAAATGGCCTGAAAACAGTGCTATAATGCTGATCTTTTATGAACCCAGGCACTGAAATTTACTTTCACTGTTGAGAATAATAATAATAATAATAATAATAATAATAATAATATACTTTATTGTCCTTTACAGGAAATATGTTACCGCAGTCTGTACATACATACCTAGATACAACAACAAGAATAAACACTTAATACAGCACATTTAGCACATTTACCCCTCCCTGTCCTGTGCGAGGCACTCACTCACGGCTGTTACCGGGATGCCTTGTTTAAAGACGCTATGGCAGAAGGTACAAAACTCCTGCCATAGTGAGCACGTTTACAGGCCACGGTCGTCCTGTATCTGCGTCGGGATGGCAGCAGTACGAATAATGAGTGAGGGGTGGCTGGGTCGTGTGCTTTATACTGTGTGTTCTGCGTGTCAGATGGTGGTCACACCAGATACTGACAGGTGTTCTGGACAGGCCGGTGGTCCCCCCCCTTTTTTTGTATTTATGT